TAAAACGGGTTAGAAAGGGATACAAATGTTTCAAAGGTAGTCAGGATAGGGCAAAAATGGGTTAGAAGTGGCAAGAACTGGACGGAAATGGTTTGGGAATGGCCAAAGTGGCTTAAAAAGACTTAGAACTGGGCAAAAAAAGGGTTGGAAATAGGCCAAGCCAGTTTAGAAATAGCTAAGAAAAGCTTAAAAGAGGCTAGAAATGGCAAGGAACTGTTCAGAAATAGAGCAAAATGGCTTACAACTAATCAGAAACAGGCAAAAGAAGACAGAAAGGACAATCAATTGTTTAAAAACAGCCAAAAAAAAAGACTTAAAACGGGTTAGCAATGGGGAAAATGGGTTCGAAACAGCCAAGAGTCTTAAAACTGGTAAGAAATGGGCAAAAATAAGATAGGACTGACCAGCAATTGTTCAGAAATAGCCAAAAGACTTGAAATGGGTGAGAAAGGGACAAAAATGGTTTAAACCAAGTCGGGAAAGGGCAAAAAGGGGTTAGAAACGGAAAGAGATTGGTAAGAACAGGACAAAACCGGTTTGGAAACGGCCAAAAGGGCTTAAAAAGACTTCGAATTGGGCAAAAAAGGGTTAGAAGTAGGCCACGCCAGTTTAGAAAGAGCTAAGAAAAGCTTAAAACAGGCTAGAAATGGCAAGGAACTGCTCAGAAATACAGCAAAGTGGCTTAAAACTAATAAGAACTGGACAAAAATAAGATCGAACAGGCCATCAATTGTTTAGAAATAGCCAAAAAAAAAAAAAAGACTTAAAATGGGTTAGCAATGGGAAAAAATGGGTTAAAAACAGCCAAAAGAGTCTTAAAACCGGTAAGAAATGGGAGAAAATATGATAGGACTGACCAGCAATTGTTCAGAAATAGCCAAAAGACTTCAAATGGGTAGAAAGGGACAAAAATGGTTTAAACCAAGTCGGGAAAGGGCAAAAAGGGGTTAGAAATGGCAAGAGATTGGTAAGAACAGGACAAAAATGGTATAAAATTGGCCATAAAGGCTGAAAAAGACTTAGAATTGAGCAAAAAGGGTTGGAAATAGGCCAAGCCAGTTTAGAAATAGGTAAGAGAAGCTGAAAAGAGGCTAGAAATGGCATGGAACTGTTCAGAAATAGCCCAGAATGGCTTAAGCCTGGCAAGAAATAGGCCAAAATAAGATAGGAATGATCAGCAATTGTTTAGAAATAGCACAACCGAGATAAAACGGGTTAGAAAGGGATACAAATGTTTCAAAGGTAGTCAGGATAGGGCAAAAATGGGTTAGAAGTGGCAAGAACTGGACGGAAATGGTTTGGGAATGGCCAAAGTGGCTTAAAAAGACTTAGAACTGGGCAAAAAAAGGGTTGGAAATAGGCCAAGCCAGTTTAGAAATAGCTAAGAAAAGCTTAAAAGAGGCTAGAAATGGCAAGGAACTGTTCAGAAATAGAGCAAAATGGCTTACAACTAATCAGAAACAGGCAAAAGAAGACAGAAAGGACAATCAATTGTTTAAAAACAGCCAAAAAAAAAGACTTAAAATGGGTTAGCAATGGGGAAAATGGGTTCGAAACAGCCAAGAGTCTTAAAACTGGTAAGAAATGGGCAAAAATAAGATAGGACTGACCAGCAATTGTTCAGAAATAGCCAAAAGACTTCAAATGGGTGAGAAAGGGACAAAAATGGTTTAAACCAAGTCGGGAAAGGGCAAAAAGGGGTTAGAAACGGAAAGAGATTGGTAAGAACAGGACAAAACCGGTTTGGAAACGGCCAAAAGGGCTTAAAAAGACTTCGAATTGGGCAAAAAAGGGTTAGAAGTAGGCCACGCCAGTTTAGAAAGAGCTAAGAAAAGCTTAAAACAGGCTAGAAATGGCAAGGAACTGTTCAGAAATACAGCAAAGTGGCTTAAAACTAATAAGAACTGGACAAAAATAAGATCGAACAGGCCATCAATTGTTTAAAAATAGCCAAAAGAAAAAACTTAAAATGGGTTAGCAATGGGAAAAAATGGGTTAAAAACAACCAAAAGAGACTTAAAACTGGTAAGAAATGGGCAAAAGTAAGATAGGACTGACCAGCAATTGTTCAGAAATAGCCAAAAGACTTCAAATGGGTAGAAAGGGCCAAAAATGGTTTAAACCAAGTCGGGAAAGGGCAAAAAGGGGTTAGAAATGGCAAGAGATTGGTAAGAACAGGACAAAAATGGTATAAAATTGGCCATAAAGGCTGAAAAAGACTTAGAATTGAGCAAAAAGGGTTGGAAATAGGCCAAGCCAGTTTAGAAATAGGTAAGAGAAGCTGAAAAGAGGCTGGAAATGGCATGGAACCGTTCAGAAATAGCCCAGAATGGCTTAAGCCTGGCAAGAAATAGGCCAAAATAAGATAGGAATGATCAGCAATTGTTTAGAAATAGCACAACCGAGATAAAATGGGTTAGAAAGGGATACAAATGTTTCAAAGGTAGCCAGGATAGGGCAAAAATGGGTTAGAAGTGGCAAGAACTGGACGGAAATGGTTTGGGAATGGCCAAAGTGGCTTAAAAAGACTTAGAACTGGGCAAAAAAAGGGTTGGAAATAGGCCAAGCCAGTTTAGAAATAGCTAAGAAAAGCTTAAAAGAGGCTAGAAATGGCAAGGAACTGTTCAGAAATAGAGCAAAATGGCTTACAAGTAATCAGAAACAGGCAAAAGAAGATAGAAAGGACAATCAATTGTTTAAAAACAGCCAAAAAAAAAGACTTAAAACGGGTTAGCAATGGGGAAAATGGGTTCGAAACAGCCAAGAGTCTTAAAACTGGTAAGAAATGGGCAAAAATAAGATAGGACTGACCAGCAATTGTTCAGAAATAGCCAAAAGACTTCAAATGGGTGAGAAAGGGACATAAATGGTTTAAACCAAGTCAGGAAAGGGCAAAAAGGGGTTAGAAACGGCAAGAAATTGGTAAGAACAGGACAAAACCGGTTTGGAAACGGCCAAAAGGGCTTAAAAAGACTTCGAATTGGGCAAAAAAGGGTTAGAAATAGGCCAAACCAGCTTAGAAAGAGCTAAGAAAAGCTTAAAAGCGGCTAGAAATGGCAAGGAACTGTTCAGAAATAGCCCAAAATGGCTTAAGCCTGGTAAGAAATGGGCAAAAAAAAGATAGGAATGACCAACAATTGTTTAGAAAGAGCACAAAGGAGATAAAATGGGTTAGAAATGGATAAAAATGTTTCAAAGGTAAGCAGGATAGGGCAACAAAGGATTAGAAGTGGCAAGAACTGGACGGAAATGGTTTGGGAATGGCCAAAGTGGCTTAAAAAGACTTAGAATTGGGAAAAAAAACAGTTAGAAATAGGCCAAGGCAGTTTAGAAAGAGCTAAGCAAAGCTTAAAAGAGGCTAGAAATGTCAAGGAACTGTTCAGAAATAGCCAAAAAAAGACTTTAAAAGGGTAAGAAGCGATCAAAAGTAAGATATAAGTGGCCATCAACTGTTTAGAAATAGCAAAATAAAAAGACATAAAATGGGTTCGAAATTCCCAATTTTTATCAATAGCAAAAAGTGGCTTAAAACCGGTAAGAAAAGGGCAAATATGAAACAGAAATGTCCATAAGTTTTTTAGAAATAGCCAAAAAAAAAACTTGAAATGGGTTAGAAATGGGCAAAAAAGGGTTAGAAATGGCCAAAAATGGGTTAAACCAAGTTAGAAAAAGGCAAAAATTGGGTTAGAAACTAAGCCGCTGCAAACTGCTGCTGCAGTTACACAGTAAGTCGGGGTAGCATGTACCTACCAGAGAGTTCTGAAATCGAACCCTAAAAAGACATAAGTATAGCAAGAAGAGGAAGGGGCCTGCTGGACACCTGCACAGACAGTACACGGCCAGGAGCCTGTCCACACAGGCAAGGGCAAAAACGGGTCAGAAATGGCAAGAGATTGGTAAGAACAGGACTAAAAAGTTTTGGAAATGGCAAAAAGGGCTTAAAAAAAGTTAGAATTAGGCAGAAAAGGGTTAAAAATAGCTCAAGCCAGTTTAGAAAGAGTTAAGAAAAGCTTAAAACAGCCTAGAAATGGCCAGGAACTGCTCAGAAATAGCCCAAAATGGCTTAAAGCTAGTGAGAAATGGGGAAAAATAAGATGGAAGTGGCCATCAATTTTTTAGAAATAGACAAAAAAAGACTTAAAATGGGTTAGCAAGAGGAAAAATGGGTTAGAAACAGCCAAAACAGTCTTAAAACTGGTAAGAAATGGGCAAAAATAAGACTGACCAGCAATTGTTCAGAAATAGCAGCAAAGCACATAAAGATTCTGCCTGTTCTCAACAGGTTGAGACTTGAAATCATTTAGCATAAACAGAGAAGCCCTTAAGATACCCAGTCTGGTAACTCGATGCACCTCCTGTTACAAGCACCCTGCAACACAGATCGGGATCAGGATCAGCTCCCTCACAATGCTGTCTCTGCGTCTAGAACACCAAGCAGTTATGAGGAAACCTGATGCGTTTACTGGAGCAAGGCCGGTATCCAAACAGGAGGAAACCAGGGGAGCAGCAGCAACCGATGTCCTCGCTGACCGACTCAACAGGAAGGCTGTGATGAGCTGGGTGGGCTCCCCTAGAGCACAACGCGGGAAGGTCTATTCGCAGAACAAAAGGAGAGCAATGAGCCTTGCCCTGCTGCAGACCTCACTCATTTCGTGGAGAGAGGACCGCAGGCTCCAGGTGTTTCAGCACCTTAAAGCTACGTTGAACAGCCTCATTTCCAAAACAACGGCAACTTTACATCAGAGGAAATAAACAGGGAATTCCTTGGCTACTTTCTAAACGGGTATTTCTCTCTTCGCCCCTTTCCCCACTCATGAAGGCACAGTGTGAATCACGCCCCCCCCCCCCCCCCCCCCCCCCGTGTCTTTACTCCCCCCGGCACCGAGCACCGGGCGCTGTGAGGCTTCCCGCGCCGGGCTCCCAGCGGGCAGGAGACGTCTCTCTGCGCTCGCCCAAGGCCTCCCCGCTCGCCCCGGACCCCCGGTGGGCTCGGATCTCACCCGCTGCCGCCGCTGCCGGGACCCGGACCCTGCCCGCCGCCATGCTGCTCCCGGGCGCTGCGCATGCGGCACCGACACGGCGCCGGAGGGACCGGAGCCGGCGCGCGAACGGCTGCGGCCACGAGCACCCCAACCTGCGGCCCCGCCGGCCATTGCTCACCGGAAGCCAGCAGCCACCACGTGACACAGCCCACTTCCGGGGACAGCTGCTCATGCGCGGAGCCCGGGCTGCAGTACCCAGCTCTGGACACAGGATGGCAGCAGCGAGAGCTCCGGCGCCACACCGCCCCCTCCAGCCCATCATAGTGCGATCGTTACGGGATCACTGTGGAGTCTCTATGAGCGTCTGCCGACTGCTGCCCATCTCTGCCACGGCTCCTTGATGCAAGGCTACTTCCATCACGTTGACAACTGCTTCATAAGGGATATCTGAAAAAACAACTGCAAAATTGTCACTGAATTGCTAAAAACCAACTCAGTTAATACCCACGCAACTTTATATCTCTAAAGACAATTGATGAGCACAGAACTTGTAACCTCCATCCCAAGAAAATGCACAAGCTGTACCTCTAATCATAGCACACATAGACTTGCATTATAGATACTCCAGCTGGCCCAGCTACAGGGCATGAGCAGAGCAACCCCAAGGCAAACACACACACACCCCCGCACACACACACACACAAAGAACACTACAGAATCCGTGACACGGAAAATAGAGAAAAAACTAGAGAGGCAGACTGCCTCCCAGAAGGAACACAGCATATGCCCAGATCACCAGCACAGGCCCACGAGCAACTCAACGGAGATCCTCAGGAGCCCGAGAACAAGGCCCAAAATGTCCACGTAATTCCAAAATCAACCACAAAACCTGACAGGATGGACATGCAAAAAGCCCAGCTTCAAGACCTACAAACATGAAAATGCACACACAATGTCCTAACCAGGGAAATGGGATGCCAAGAGAACAGAGACACAAAAGCAGCCTGGAGACACTCAGACACTCTGACTCGGACACTAACTCTACATATACTATCACACCCACTCCCAAGCAGACTCTCTGGGCCTGTCTCATTAATTACAAGCTTATTCCCAGAGCTCTTCTGTCCATTCACACAGATCATCAAGAGGAGAGAACTACACTGTCAGGAGGAAAACCCATTACATATGTTACAGAGTTCAAGAACTCCAGATAAGAGAAAACCACAGACCAACAGAGAACTCTTAACTAGTCCATTAACATAGGAAGCTACAGAGATAGTGAAGCATACACTAAAGGATACTTTTCCTGGTTGCTTATCTTACCAACCCCAAGGACCCTAGGAAGAGCATCAGCAAACCAGCTCCGACAATCATCATGGCAGTGTGAGGTGGCAGGCACAACCTCAGCGGGCGTCCCCGCGCAGGCAACGTTCACCTGGTTGGGATGAGCTTCTGCCTCCCTCACATAGCATGAGGCTCGGGCTTTCATACTCACAAAAATGCACTCTCATTCTGACACAGGGGGCCAGCCTATGCCAGAAGAAGTAGTGAGCACTTTCTAGAAAGGTCTTGAAGGGTCTGAACTTTTCCAGGCAGTTCTAAAGCAGAAATTTCTGGGTAGGAACCAAAGCTAGACTTTCCTGGAAAATCTGAAGCAGAGCACTCCAGGAAGGAGCCAAAGACAAAAAACAGTGCTTGCCTGTCTTTCTGTGTTTCACCACGGACCATTACCTATTGTTCCTGACATGAAACCCCAGACTTGAGCCCCACAAATGGCACCTTTTCATCCTGGCATTTAACTCTCAGGCACTACCTTCACTACTGTTAACCAATTGATGATACCAGGTACAAGCCCTACTGTGCTTTATGCTTGTAAAACTGGAAAGGAATTTTCTAGCCGTCACTTAGTTGACTGATGCAAGGGGTCAGGATCCAAACAACAGTGCCAGAGGAATGCCCTGAGCACCTTGGGCTCAATGAGCAATGAGTATATCAAGACCTGAAGAGGTGCTGATACAGAACACAGACCTCTTGTACTATTTAACAGTCAAGCTGGAGCTGCCCTGCTCACAGTTATACTGCTGAGTAGCCCACTGCCTTTCCCTCGGCCCCATGCCACATTTCAAACCCCTTCCTACTATCTTGACAGTGTACCTCAATCTTCTTATCCCAAACAAGAGTTCCTCTACTTAGTTTCCATAGTGCCATGGTCTCCAGACAGGCCCAATGTTGCAAACTCGCACATCGAAGTCCTGAGATCTTGCCACAGTTGCCGAGTTTCTCTTCATCATCTGCAACAACAAACAAATGGGAACACACCGTGCTGGCTGTCAGTAGCCCCATCCCAGCCAACACCACCAGCCTGTTCCATAACAACCCTCTTCCTCCTCCTATGCTCCTCAACATTGTGCTCTCATGCTCCAAATTGATTGCAGAGTCTGATGCCGGGCTTTCTCTTGCCTTCCACAACCTAGGAGTACGAGAGAGACAAATTACCATGGTGCTTGCATGCTAACCCACAACCCCTATTGTTACCACCCTGCCTCACCTCACACACTCACGTGACTCCAGATTTAGAAGGCAGAACCTGCAATACCAAACACAAATACTAAACCCCTCTGTCATGATATTCTCAACTTTGAGCAGCCACCCCCACACACAACCCTTTTTATCTTCTCATAGCCCTCCTTGGTTTAGGTCTTCACCTCTCCCGAGCTGGCTGCAGCACCTGAAAAACATGTAGAAGCAAACAGATAAGGTTCCAAACTGCAGCCATGCCTCCCCAAGTCCCATCTCCCTCTCCGGTCACTTTACTGCTCATGCACTGACATTCGCAGGTCTGCAGGTCTTCTTCAAGCCTGAGCACTGCCTACAGAAAACAACAGCAAGGGATGTTTTAATTTCATAAAAATTATAAGACACTCAGTTGCTGATTCAGTCTGCAAAATATAGCTCACCTTGCTCAAGTCAGCTCTAGGTCACAGGTCTCACTTAGGTCCTTGTTCTGCACCTCCAAATTAAAAATACACAGCAAGTCAATAGCCCCCCAGGAGAATAAGGCATAACTTCCTTCTGACACAACAAGTTTACCCACCTGGTACCTTCAACTCTGCACAACCCTCCTCCATCAGCCTCTCACAAGTGGCTAACCATCTCCCCATTTCCAAGAACCTGGCATTAGTCACCACAATGCCAAGCAAAAGATAATTCTGCCTCTATGTCTCAGGCCAGATTCACACCGACACTTAGGTTAACATGCATACACAGACTGACATTCAGACAATCTCAACACAGACCCTCACACCCTCTGGCTCAGACATTAAAACTCCAGATATACTATCATACCCACTCCCAAGTAGACTCTCTGGCCCTGACACATTAATTGCAAGCTCATTTCCAGAGCTCTTCTGCCCATTGACATGAATTATCAAGATAGAGAGCTACACTGTGATTATAAAAACTCACTACACATGTTCCACAGTTCAAGAATTCCAGGTGAGGGATAACTAGAGACAAATGGAGAACACTTAACTAGTTCATTATTACAGAAAACTGTACAGATAGCAAAGCATGCTTCTCATGGTTCCTTATCTTACCAACCCCAAGGACCCTAGGAAGACCATCAGCAAACCAGCTCCGACAATCGTCATGGCAATGCCAGGTGGCAGGCCCAACCTTAGCAGGCGTCCCCGCGCAGGCAACCTTCACCTGGCTGGCATGAGCTTCTGCCTCCCTCACACAGCATGAGGCTCAGGCTTTCATACTCACAAAAACGCACGCTCGTTGCTACGCAGGGGGCCAGCCCACGTCGCAAGAAGCGGCCAAGTGTATCTAGGAAGGTCTCCCAGGGTCAGGACTTCTCCAGGCACTTCTAAAGCACAACTCTCTGGCTAGGAACCAAAGCTGGAATTTTTGGGGAGCAGCCAAAGCAGAACACTGCAAGAAGGAGCCAAAGGGGACAAACAGTACTTTCTATCTTTGAGTGTTTCATCAAGGACCATTACCTATAGTCCCTGACACGACACCCCAGACTTGAGCCCCACAAACGGCACCTTTTCATCCTGGCATGTAACTCTCAGGCACTACCTATGCTAAAACTGACCATTCTCCTCCCAGGCACCTCCAAGCGTCTTCTCAGACATTCTGGCTCAAATACTACATTGGAATGATACATCTCAAACCCTTCCTTCCATTCTGACATTGTCCCCCACCCCTTTGCCTCTTAAAGGAGTCCCTCTACTAAGCATCCATAGTGCCATGGGTCTCGAGGCAGCCTCCCTGCTCAGAAGTCCCACGGCAGACACCAGCCATGTTTCAGCCACTGCCAAGTTCCTCTTCATCATCTGCCAGAAACAAAGAAATAAAGGGTAACATGCTGCGCAGGCCGTCATCTCCACCACCCCAGCCATCGATGCCAGCCTCTTCTGTAACTCTGCCTTCTTAGTATTACGTTCACCTTGTACTAATCTATTGCAAAATACGATGCTGGGCTTCTCCTCTCCTCCAGGACCTAGAAGTACAATAGAGAGAATCGACCATGGTGCCTGCAAAAAGTGACGGACCCCCAAAACCACTATTGTTACCTCTCTGCCTCACCTCTAACAGTCATCTGACTTCAGAGATAGAAGGGAGGACCTGCTATAACAAACATAAGTACTGAACCCTTTGCCATGTTATTCTCAGCTCTGAGGCACCACTCACGCAGACAAGCCTTCTACCTTCTCCCAGCCCTCCGCAGTTGGCAGCTTGACCTCTCTCGAGTTACTTGTGGCACCTAAAAACAAAATTGAAACAGGCACACACAGATAGAAAAATAGAAGCTGCAGCCGACCCTGAAATAAGTTACTACTTCGGTGTTTCAAGCATAGTTCACCTTGACTGAGTCCTCTGAATGGTAGTTTTCAGCTAGACAGTGAGAGTGAGTTTGAGCCAGGGAGCCTTATCCAAGTAGTGTGAACCAGAACTTCTGTGATACACTCAGTAAGAGATTTATTTGGATGTATGAGCCAGTCAGTGTCAGACTGAGCCTAAGTGAGTGTGAGGGAAAATCTGAGCCAGAGAGTGTCTGTGCAATTTAAACGCAAGTATGAGTGTGAACCAGTCTGTGTGAGAAGGAACCTGC